ATTAGTACCTCTTCTACACCATCAATTTCTCTTTCTTTACCAAACCACAGCAGTGCTTTCCAATAAAAATGCAAGTTGTAAACCAGGCATGGTGGTATACACACCGCCAACTAGTTGTAAAATTCCAGCAACTAGGGAGGCTGAGGGAGGAAGACCACAAGTTCAAAGTCAACCTGGGAAACTTAAATAGACCATGTCTCAAAATAAAAAATGGAAATGGCTGGGGCTGTAGTTCAGTGGCAGAGCCACACCTGGTTCAATCTAGTACTGGGAAAAAAAAGAAAAACAAAACATATATATATTGAAATTTTCTAGCATATTAAGCCATGTTCAAAAACACATCAAGAAGATTGTGTATAGCATGATCAAGTAGTTTCATCCAAGGGATGCAAAGTTGATTCAACATAGGTAGATTAATAAATGCAATTCACCACATAAATAGAATGAAGAACAAGAATTATATGATTGTCTCAATATATGCAGAAAAAGCATTTGATAAAATCCAGCACCCATTAAAAATGCTAGAGAAAATAGGGATAGAAAGAACTTAGCTCTATATATGACAAACCCAAAGTCAACGTCAAACTGAGTGGAGAAAAAATGAAAGCATTTCCTCTCAAATTAGGAACAAGACAAGAATGTCTACTCTCACCACTTTTATTCACTATAGTTCTTAAAACTCTAGCCAGAGCAATCCAGTAAGAGAAGTAGATTACATGAATACAAATAGGAAAGAAGAACTATATTATCTCTCTTTGCTGTTGACATGATCCTATATCTAGAACCCCCCCCCGCAAAAAAAAAAAACTCCACCAGAAGACTTCTAGAGTTGATAAATAAATTCAGAAAAGTAGCAAGATACAAGATAAACATTCATAAATAGTTTCCCAATAATCTAACAATGACTCTGCTGAAGGAAAACTATCCCATTCTCAACAACCTAAAAAAATCTACTTGGGAATTAATCTAACCAAGGAAGTGGAAGATCTCCACAATGACAATTATAGAACACTGAAGAAAGAAACTGAAGAAGACTTTAGAAGATGGAAAGAGCTTCCATGTTCTTGGATAAGCAGAATTAACATTGTCAAAATGGCCATACTACCAAAAGCAATATACAGCAATCACCACCTGAATACCAATGCAATGATGTTCTTCACAGAACCAGAAAACAGTCCTAAAATTCATTTGGAAGAATAAGAGACCCAGAATAGCCAAAGCATTCCTGAGTAAGAAGAGTGAAGCAGGAGGCATCACAATATCTGATCTCAAATTATACTACAGAGCTATAGTAACAAAATCAGCATGGTATTGGCATCAAAATAGAAATGAACACCAAAGGAATAGAAGACAGAGACAAATCCACATACTGATACTTGACAAAGGTATATATGTTTGAGGAAAGGTAGCCTTTTTTTTTTTTTACAAATAGTGCTAGGAAGTTAGATATCTATATGTAGAACAAACAATCTAGATCCTTAATCTCTCACCCTGCACAAGAATCAAATCAAAGTGGATGAAGACAAGTTAGACCAGTAAATACTAAACAAAAACTAGGGTCAACATTCCAACATATTTGTGCAGGCACTGACTTCCTTTGTTTGTTTGTTTGTTTGGTGATGCTGGGGATTGAGCCCAGGGCCTTGTGCGTGTGACACAAGCACTCTACCACGTGAGCCATATCCCCAGCCCCTGACTTCCTTAAATAAAAAAACCAACCCTACAGCTCAAGAAATAAAGCCAAGAATTAAGAAGTGGGATGGCATAAAATTAAAAAGATTCTTCACAGCAAAGAAAATCATTGTGTGAAGAGAGCCTATAGAATGGGAGAAAATGTTTGCCAGCTAACGTCTGACAGGAGATTAATATCCAGAATATATAAAGAACTCAAGAAGCTTAACACCCAAAACCAAATAACCGAATCTATACACAGGCAAAAGACAGGCAAAAGAACCAAACAGATATTTCTCAAAAGAAGAAATACAAATAGCCAACAAATACATGGATAAAATGTTCAACATTCCTATCAATCAGGGAAATGCTAATTAAAACTAGACTAAGAGTTCCTCTCACTCCAGTCAGAATGGAAATTATCAAAAATACAAAAAAAAAAAGGCCAGGCATGGTGGTGTACCCTTGTAATCCCAGCAGCTCAGGAAGCTGAGGCAGGAAGATCATGAATTCAACGCCAGCCTCAGCAAACAAATGAGGTGCTAAGCAACTCAGTGAGACCCTATCTCTAAATAAAATACAAAATAGGCTGGGGATGTGGCTCAGTGGTCAAGTGCCCCTGAGTTCAAACCTCAGTACCTCCCCAAAACAATACAAAAAAAAATGCCCAGTGTGGGGGTATATGCCTGTAATCCCAGCAATTTGAGAGGCTGAGGCAGGAGGATCACAAATTCAAAGCCAGCCTCAGCAACTTAGAGAAGCCCTAAGAAACTTAGTGAGAACCTATCTCACAAAATAAAAAAAAAAAAATTAAAGGGCTGGGGATATGGCTCAGTGATTATATGTCCCTGGGTTCAATCCTGGGTACCAAAGGAAAAAAAAAAAGAAGACAAATAATAATAAATACTGGCAATGATGTGAGGGAAAAGGTACACTCTTATTTGTTTGGTGGGACTAAAAATTAGTGCAACCACTTTGGAAAGCAGTATGGAGATTCCTCAAAAACTAGGGATGGAACCACCATATAACCCAGCTATCCCACTCCTTGATATATATATCTAAAAGTTCTAAAATGAGCATTCTAAAGAGAATCAGCCACATCAAATGTTGGAGCAGCACAATTCACAATAGCCAAGTAAGTATGAAACTAGTCCAGGTGCTATCAACAGACAAATGTGGTGTGTGTGTGTGTGTGTGTGTGTGTGTGTGTGTGTGTGTGTGTGTGTGTGTGTGTAGACACACACACACCATGGTGTTCTACTCAGCCATAAAGAATGAAATTATGGCAATTGTAGTAAATGGATGGAATTTTACTTAACATCATGTGAAGTGAAATAAGCCAGACTCAGAAAATCAAGGGTAATTTTCTCTCGAAAGTGGAAGCTAGAGCAAAGTAAGGGAAAAAAGTGGTGTCAGATACTATACAGATAGAGGGAAGGTCAGTAGAGTATAAGAAGGAGATGGAAGGGAGGAGAGGAGGGACAGGAAAGGGGAAGAAATGTAGAATTAATTTGACAAAATTTCACTATGAGCATGTATAAATATTCCACCATGAATTCCACTTTTATGTATATCTATGAAGCATAAATAAGTAAATAAGTAGAATAGAATACCAGTAGGGTAGAGGAAGGGAAATGGGGCTTGGGGACAAGGGGAGGGAAAAAGAAGATACTGAGGACTGAAATTGAGCAAATTAAATTTCATGCATGTATGATTATGTCAAAACTAACCCAACTATTATGTATAAAACTATAATGTACTAATAAAAGAATTTTAAAAATAAAAGTTTCCTAGCATATTTAAAAAGTAAATGTAAATAGTTGAAATTAATTTTAACATTGCATTTTATTTTATCCAATGTATCTTAAGTATGTAATAATTATAAAATAAAACAATTATTGAGAAATTTTACATTTTTTTAACTAAGTCTTTGGTATTGTCAAGCAGTCAGTTGGTGAAAAACCAAAACAAAATAAGAAACCCAGATACTTTATTACTTAAAGAGGCAGCAAAAACAAGATTAGTAATAATATCAACTCCCTGCATTTCTTGTTGCACAGGATGATACTGAATTTAAAGGGGCCAGATGACAAGCAACATAAGTGATGGGACCCCTGGTGTTGAATAGCCAATGTTAACACTGCAGCTAAACAGTTTTATGACCTACAGCTGTACCTAGGCTGGAAAAAAATCCCAATAATTTATAGGAATGAGGGAGGCATATGAGAAATTGCCTAATTTCAGCTTTTCTCAAGATAGGGAAGTGAATGCCAACCAGTCTTGTAGCCACTCCTCACAAGACTACTTATTTTCACATATTCTGGCAGGATCACAGGGCATTTACCAAGACCTGAATCATCTTGCAGTTCAGCCTTGTTTATGTGGCCTATGTGGCCTACATGGATAGGGCAAGGGTTTCAGGGCCCACACCAAGCAGTTCCCCTACAAAAATCCTGTGTGTGTGTGTGTGTGTGTGTGTGTGTGTGTGTGTGTGTGTGTGTGTGTTGGAACTGGCTATTGAAACCAGGGGTTTTATATACCCAGTCCTTTTTGTGTTTTATTTTGAGATAGGAACTCACTAAGTTGCTGAAGCTGGTGATCCTCCTGCCTCAGCCCCCCCAAGTTGCTAAGATTATAGGCATGTGCCACTGTACCTGGCAGTATGTATATTTTATACTTATGGCACATCTTAATTCAGGCTAGCCATATGTCAGGTACTCAAAAGATATACATAGGTAGTGGATACCATTGCAGATCTGCAACATGGCAAAAGTCAGAATCACTGAGCTACAGCAAAGGAAAACGTGGGGTGTCAGAGTGTTTATGTGCAAGTGTGTGGGCAGGTGAAGAGTCAGAACAGCAAAAACCTTGTGATGAGGGCACTAGTGAAGCAGTTCCCCTGGGTTACATTGAGAAGTGGCAGCAGAAGAGATGGAAGGACACTGAAGACACACTAACGTGCCCTTGTTATAGTTAAAGCTTTGTCCCAGGGTTTCATAAATTGACTTCCAGACCTCTCACGTATAATCGAATCAAGCGTTTATTGAAGCACACCAGTGGTGACTGACCAGAACATAAAGCTGTTACCCTGATCAGCCCCGAACAATTGCAAGGGTACTCCTTATAAGCCTGAAAACTGCAAAAGGGATGTTCAGGGGGTCTAGCCAATGCAAGCAAGCCAGGTTACAGAAGTGGGACAGTTCAGTCAAGCGGAGGGAAGCCTAACCAATCAGTTAGCCTAAACACCCCAGTTACAGAAACAGAGCCCTGTTACCCTAGTTACAGAAACAACAATGCCCCATTAGGTAGTTCCGTGTTCTTAAAGGTTTCTATAGAAAAAGATAAGAACATCTTGCCCCAGTCATGACTCTTCTACTTGGCTTGGTTGTTTTACAGGATGAAGTCATAAAACAAAATGGAGTCACATTTGCTTTTACTATTACACCCTTGCCGCTTTCTGTTTTCTACCCTAACACCCTGCCTCTCAGCAAAACTCTGGCTGCTCTTAGACTACAGAATCAGACAGAGGCTGCACAAGGGCTCTTCTACTTTTCTCACTCCTGGAAGTTATCTATGGTATATGTGCTAAACCTCACCAACCTCAGCCTTTCTTTCAAGGTACTATTTATGTTTTTGTCCCAGCCCTCTGCCTTCCTTTATCTGAAAAGGCTTGACTTCATTTCACACTGTGCCTCTTCCCCCACCTTCTGCCTCTAACACTCCTTTCCCCATTGTCTTTCCCCTTATTTTCATCTTTTATGTTCAGAATTTCTGACAATTTTTATATCACCTTGGTTTTTAAGTTGTCCTCTAATTTCTCTTCTAATCTTGGCTTCAATTTAGTTGAACATGCCTATCTTCCATACTCCAGCTTACTTGCCCGAATTTTCCCCAGCATTCTTCCTGACTTCATCCTACTTTCCCAGGCTCTTTCCATATATTTAGACCTCCTTTTCTCTGAGCACAGCTTATTAATTTCTGCCTAGAGTACTAAAAGTGGTGCACAGAACTTGGGAGTACATTTCCTAGAGCAACACTGATTTTCGTCAATTAGAATCAGAACTGGGGCTAGCTGGGCTACTTCTGGAAAACCCTCAAATGTCTCTTGGTAATAAACATTACCACTATTTGTTTTTCAGATGAGAAAACAGAGCCTCTAAGATGTGTGGACTTGCCCAAGACAAGTGAGAATTGGGATTCCAACCTGTTTTTGTTCCACTACACAATTTAATCCAAACATTAAATTGTTGCCATTTATTTTCACTTCTCTATACTCCTCTCCAAATCCCAATGTTATATGGCTATTATGAGATAATTTGCTTAGTCATAGGAGTTTTCCTAAGAACTCTTTGGAAGGATGCTTCAGTATAGACAGTATCTTCTGTCATTTCTTAATCATAAAGTGCTATGGTCTGAATGTGTCTTCCCCCCGAGTTTATGTTGAAACATCATCTGCAATGTGGTACTCTTAATAAGTAGTGCTTTATGGAGGTGATTAGTTCATTAGGTCATCACCTTCATGAATGGGATTAGTACTCTTGTAAATGAGACCTGAAGGAGCTTGTTTGCTCCTTCTTCCATGTAAGGATGCAGCCAGAGATACATCACCAGATACTGAATCCACTGGCACCTTGATGTTGGATTTCCCAGCCTCCAGAACTGTGAACAATAAACATTGCTTATAAATTACCCAAGCTGGTGTATTTTTGTTATAAAGAACTGAAAATGCACAAAGACACATAGTTTATTGCTTGTCTTCTTGTTTCCTTTTGGATATGAGTGCTCATTGTGAAGGCAATTTAATAAATTGAAAGAAACTAGGGGCTGGGATTTAGCTCAAAGCTAAAAGAACATTTGCCTAGCATGTGAAAGGCCTTGGGTTTGATCCCCAGAACCACACACACATAATAAATTTACAGTAATCATTTTAAAAGAAAGAATTTATTTATTGTTTAAAGAACACAGACCAGAAAACCATTAATAATACAGCCTTTAAAAACCCACCCCAAAGCAACCCTGGATTGTTAAAGAAGTCTTCATAGGCATTACAGGCATCTGGTTTTTCCTAACCTTTTCTGATAAAGGTTAGGATGAGGAATCTCATAATAAGGATAAGTGCTTAAAATTTTTTCATCTTTGCTCTTACTTAATTAATAACAACCAACCACAGTCCTAAATACACAATAGAACAAAGATATGTAGCAGCAAGAAATCATCCCTGAGAAAGAGAGCAGACTTATCATTTGAACAAAGAGGACAGAACTTATTACTAACAGCTGAGAGGTAGACTCTTAAATTACTGTTGCAGGAGCTAGCCCTTAATAGAAATGGAAATTTCTACATTTAGGAAATAAGCGCTTAAAATAGAAGAGTTTGGAAAAGCTAAAACATGCTAACCAGATGTATGGTCTTCTAGGCTAAAAAACTCTCTGACAAACATGGCTGAATCATCTGATGGCACCATAGGTCAGGAGAAATATATGTAATTCACAAATTCACAAAGAGAATATTATCCCTTTCTACATGACTATTATATTAAAACATTTTATAACCAGCAAAATGTTCAGAGAAACAAATATAATTGATTAAACATAAGGCAACCAAAGGGAGAGAAACATGCACAATTTCACACAGTAACTGGTCTTGATGGAAAAACCAATGTTTATGGCCAGGTTGAAGACTCTTCTCACTTCTTCAGAAAATACTTCAATTGCTCCTGTAGGGAAATGAGCTATAAGGAGAAGCATAAAAACAGAAAAAAAATCATCTTAAATCTTAGGTTCTACTACTTCATCAAATATTTACTTATATAAACCATAAATAACAACTGTCAGTTGGTATTTATAAGGTTATCTTACAATGTTCCAAAGAACAGTTCCACAGTAAAAAAACAAAATGCATGACCAATATTTTAGTCATGATGTTGCCCTTTATTATGCCAAACTTCAAAAGCTTTAAATTGAATATGCTTTTAAAAATTGAATATGCTTGCTGTTAGGAATCTACGTTTCTGTGAAGGATATACAGAGGCCATAGTTCAAGGAGAAATGAGATGGGGGTTCATTGTAGCCATATTCTAGGTGTCAGAAGATAAGGCAGTTTGAAAAGTCTCTTGACCCAATGAACATGATTAATCTTATACTAAGTCTTATCTGCTGCTTCTTGACATGCTTTAAGAAACTAAGAAACCCAATCAGGGTCCTGACCATCCTGACTAATCAGCAACCTGATGATGTTCTACTTATGCTTTCTAAATCAAAAGTCATGAACCTTTTGTGGGTGTAGAATGTAATGTTTTTTTTTTTTTAACTTGAACTGTACTATGACCAATTATATTTATAGATGTATACTGTTTTGGGGACAAAGGACATTTTTTACATTATCCAATTTAGGTCATTCCATATCAGCATAGATTTTTACTCTGTGAAGTGAAAGGAAAAGAGCCATATAAAACAAGCTGTGCTGCACAATACCTAAAAACCACTCTATTTGCTGTTTTCAGTAATTTATATATTATTCTCACTCAGATGCTGAGTGACTCTAAAGGACCATGACCACAGCTAGTCATTGCTCCAGTTCTTTCTCCTTTGTGGGCTCTTTTTCCTACTTCCCACTAAAGGTAGTTTTTTCCCTTAAGTCCAGACTTCTTGCTGAACAATGAACTCAACCAACTTATCTAATCCCACACATTCAATGATTATTTCTGTGTATGGGCCTCTCAGATCTCCCATTTTCAAAAGCACTTTCAAGAACACTCATTATCTTTTCCATCCCTCATGCCCTCCAAATCCTCGTCCTGTTGTCTTAATTTCAATTAACAGTACACCATTTTCCAATTATACAGTCTTTAGACTCTTAGACTATTTTTCCCTTTGCCCTATAAGTCTGCTAACATTTAGATATGGAATGTGCCCCACAGGCCCAAGTGTTAAAGGTTTGGTCCCAGTTTGTGGCACTACTGAGAGGTAGCAGAACCTTTAAGCAGTGGAGCTTTGTGGGAGATTTTAGGTCATTTGGGGCATGCACTAAAAAGGAATTGTGGGACCCTGGTCTCTCCACTCCTCTTTTTTTTTTGCTTCCATGCTATGAGGTGAGTGGCTCTGTTTCACCATATGCTCCTCACTGTGATGTGCTGCTTCACTATAGACCCAAAAGCAAAGGGTCTCAATGGCCATGGACTGGAACCTCCAGAACTGTAAGCCAAAATAAACCTTTTTTTGTTTGTTTGTTTTTTTGGTTTTTTTTGTTTTTTTTTTTTGTTTTTTTTTTTAAAGAGAGAGTGAGAGAGGAGAGAGAGAGAGAGAGAGAATTTTTAATATTTATTTTTTAGTTCTCGGCGGACACAACATCTTTGTTGGTACGTGGTGCTGAGGATCGAACCCGGGCCGCACGCATGCCAGGCGAGCGCGCTACCGCTTGAGCCACATCCCCAGCCCCAAAATAAACCTTTATCTTAATAAGTTTGTTATCTTGGGTGTTTTTTCAGTAATGGAAATCTAACATAATATCTAATGAATTCTTAAGTTCTGGTTCCTTCTATCACTTGCACCTCCCCATTCTAATTTTTCCTACATGCTGCTAGAAGATAAATCTTTCTGAGTTACTCTCCAGGTAAAACAAACCAAAACAAAATCTGTTGGCTCTTTATGACCTCCACCCCAAATCTAAACTTTTTAGCCTGGTATCACCAACTTTGAGCCACTGTACATGCTACCCAGTCATAGAATGTCCTGCTTTCTTTATGCCCTTATTAAAACTCTACCTAAATTTTAAGGTCCCAGGTAAATACTATCTTCTCCATAAAGTCTTCCCTAATCTCCATAGACAAAAGCAAGCTCTCATTTCTTTAAATCCCTACCCCTCTTGTCAATAAATCTATGTTGAATATATAAGCTAACATAAAGGTCTCTGAGTAAATAAACTTTATAGCCACATTTCTACATTGAAAATAGCACTCCCCACTACTAACTACTTACATGCAGTAATCTTTGTATTAATTGTTCGCCTGGTTGACTACAAATAGTACTCGTATACGTAATTTGCTGAGAAAAAGGGAATATATAGAACATTAGAATACCTCTGGCCTTGTAGGGATGGAGGAAGGGAGCAGTTCCTCTATCTTAAGAGCTCTGAGCTAAGCCTATTGTCATAAAACAAACACTGGTTTCTTTAAAATTGTTACCTGCAACCATATAGGGCTGGAGTTGGCATACATTTTCTATACAACTACTTTACCTTCATTTATCTCACTTTTCTCTCTTCTCTTTTCACTCTGCACACTTTCTTGTGGCTTTGAATACTAATCATTCAAGTTAGAAATCTGACATGTATCCTTAACACTTCCTTCTCCTTCACCAGTAACTGACTCAAGTCCTATCAATCCTTTTAAATATATTCTCTCGTATGTAAATGTTCATGGTAGCATTATTCATAATACTCCAAAAGTAGAAACAACTCAAATGTTCATCAGTGAATGCATGCAATAAATAAAATGTAACGTATCTGTACAATGGAATAATAGAAATATGGACAATTATTAAGTCTTACATGGAATAAGGTACTGGTACATACCACAACATAGTTGAATCTTGAAAACATTATGTTAACTAAAAAAATCCAGGGAGAGAAGATGGTGGATTAGAGGAAGTATGTACTTCCTAGCAGTTCCTTAGCACCAGACTTAAAAAGTGGAAGATTGCTCCTTGAGGTGGGTAACTAAGGGAACTCACTGAAATTCAATACTGGACAGTAAAAGAAATCATGGAGACACAGAAAGTCAGAAACTTCAAACATAATAAGAAATAATACTTTAGAGAAGCAACAGCTAGGTTGATGACTATGGCTGCATCCCTGGCTGCTGGCGGGAGGGAGTACACAGGCAGAGAGAGCAAAGTTCAGTGAAAAAAATAGCTTGTAGGGTAACCTGTGTAATAGAGAGGGAGGATGATCTTAATGGACCCAGGGTCAGTGGGGGAAGCTGTTGAGTGAAAAATGCTCAGCCATGGGCAGACAGTTTGGAAGGTACCAGTGTCACCTGTGCAAGAATTATTTATAAGCACTGTGTGGCAGCAAGCAGAAGCAAGAGATTGGGAACTCACAAAAAATTTGCAAGCAGTCACCTATATGGGCCACAGAGGGTGTCTAGGTCAGTGTAACTGAAACAAGTGCGAAAGAATTGTGCTTAGAAAATCTAGGCTTAAGCTACCAAGAAGACAGAACTCCCTTTATTGTTGACAACTGATAACAGCTACTGGGAAGACACCAATCACAGCCAGATAGGAATGTCTGCACTCCAGGACTGATACTGGGTAATTCACATCCACAGCAGTGAATGTGAAACCTGTGGAGGTTTAGACTTTACTCCTAAAATAGAATTTGCAGAAGGCATCTGTGATCCAAATGTCCTGTAGAGATTGGCATATTCCCAGCAACTGTGGGTGTGGATCAATCTCAAATACCCATCAACAGAGTTCCTACAGGAGGAGTGCTATTTCTATGCCAATCACTCCGGTATCATCCAAGACAAGATCAAGAGACTACAAGAAGACCTTAAAACCTGTTGGAATGAACTGCAATCTAGATTTCTAAGGACTGGGCTAACGGGTGGGTGGCTCCCTTATCGAGCCAGAGCTGTTCAACTGATGGTGGTCTGGCAGCAACACGCTGTCTTACAAGATACTGACTGGGAACCCTATGAGGTTGGTCATGGCCCCTACCAGGACATGCAGGTGTAAGCCCAGAGCAGAAAGGTTTCCTTCATAGGCGATAGACATCTCCCTTCCTTAAAGCTTCCCATTGGGTCTGCCGACCCTGCAGGTGAACTGCCAGAAGAGCCAGAGTGGTAGTCAACTATGGGTAAGATCCCCAGAGGCGGACGACCTAAGACAGGCACACTCTCAAGTAAGGCAAACACCTGCTAATAAAACGAGGGAGATGTAGGGCATAATGTAACGTCGTAGGACATGTTGTATTAGAAAAGAGGAAACTTAACTTGCTGGCTGCTACCCGCTTCCCAGTCCTGGGGCCACATTGGCTAAGAGAGCACCTGGCGATTAGCCAGAAGACATTGCCATAGGTTGTGATGAAAAAAAAGAATACCTCTAGGATAGGCTCAGAACCCCTCTGCCCTCACGGACATTACTGCCTGTAGGATGGGTGTACATGTGAACTCTCCCCACCCTGCTGACCTTTATCCTGACTGGCTCCTGTACATTATATGAGCTGTGTGTGTTTTCTCATTAAACAAGATCCTGCTTTGACAGTTCTCCCTGGTGCGTCTGATTGTCCTCCAGGGAGGGAGGGCTGTGGGTGGCCAGTCGACCTTTACTTTTCTTGGTATGCTCCCCCAATCTCTCCCACAGGTCAGGAGGGAACGGGCGGGGGGCGGGGAGCTAAAAACCCCGACAAGAGCCCATAATACAAAGAAAGAAAATCTATCCTTGCCAACAATTTTGAGCACCTCTGGAAATAAGCCCTTTATTTCTCATTACGATTTATCATATTTTTCCACATGCCCCCTTTTTAATTTTTAAATTTTTAATTTAATTTTTAATACACATATACATATATATTTATTCTTTTTTTTAAAGAGAGAGAGAGACAGAGAGAGAGAGAGAGAGAGAGAGAGAGAATTTTAATATTTATTTTTTAGTTCTAGGTGGACACAACATCTTTGTTGGTATGTGGTGCTGAGGATCGAACCCAGGCCGCACGCATGCCAGGCGAGCGCGC